TCCTCAGGACTTGCAGCGACTTTTCTTCCATTTTTCGTGTTTCTACATTTTCCCAATATTCTCTCATGAAGCTTGTTCTAATTTAAAAACTGGAGAGAACACATTGCTACAGTTTTTTTTTTTTTTAAAGCACCCGCATCGCTATGTTTTGTTTTAAGATGTTTTTCAAAGTTCTGGTGCAGCACAGCTTGGCATCGTAACTCCCAACCCCTTAAAAGAAAGCGTGCGGAGCAAACAGAGTCCGGATCTGGGGGCGGCCTGGTGTCTGTGTCTGTTTGGAGCAGAGGTTTCGCGTCTTGGAACCAGGTGGGGGACTGGCCCAGATGTGCATTCGCTAAAGGATGCTGTGCGCGGGCTGCTGCGGGTCGCCAGCACAGGCTCCTTGGTAAACATCTAGCAGCCGGACACCTCTCGGGAGGGGAGCTTGGAGCCACTTAAAAGGTAGCTGGCAGCTAGAAGTGTGATCGGAAAAAGGCAGTCACTGGGACTTCATGCAAAGGAGCAGCCTCACGCCATAGGAAACATCCCGGCTTTTCCGTCCTTGCCAAACCGGGAGGTGAGAGAAGACGCAGCAATATCACAAAGACACAGAGAGGACTTTTTGTTACGAGAGTTAATTAGAGGCTGGGTGTGGTGGCTCACGCCTGTAATCCCAGCACTTTGGGAGGCTGAGGCTGGTGGATCACTTGAGGTCGGGAGTTCGACACCAGCCTAGCCAACATGGTGAAACCCCGTCTCTACTAAAAAAAAAAAAAATTAACCAAGCATTGTGGTGGGCGCCTATAATCCCAGCTACTAGGGAGGCTGAGGCAGCAGAATCGCTTGAACCAGAGGCAGAGGTTGCAGTAAGTCGAGATCAGACCACTGCACTCCAGCCTGGGGGATAATAAAACCCTTTTTTAAAAAAAAAAAAAAAAAAAGACTGGGTGTGGCGGTTCAACCTGTAATCCCAGCACTTTGGGAGGCTGAGGTGGGCGGATCACCTGAGGTCAAGAGTTCGAGACCAGCCTGGTCAACATGGCAAAACCCCATCTCTACTAAAAATACAAAAATTAGCCAGGCATGGTGGTGAGCACCTGTAATCCCAGCTACCCAGGAGGCTGAGGCAGGAGAACCGCTGGAACCCGGGATGCAGAGGCTGCAGTGAGCTGAGATTGCACCGCTGCACTCCAGCCTGGGCAACAAAGCAAGACTCCATCTCAAAAACTAACTAACTAACTAACTAACTAACTAAATAAATAAATAAATAAATAAAAGCAGCTTAATCCCTCCTTTGTGATGAAAAGGTTTCTTCCAAAGGCAACCAAAAGACTGGGAAAGGAGTGGCCCCAAGATTTTTTTTTTTTTTTTTTTCCTGGAGTCGGAGTCTCACTCTGTAGCCCAAGCTGGAGTGAAGTGGCACGACCTCGGCTCACTGCAACCTCTGCCTCCTACGTTCAAGCGATTCTCCTGCTTCAGCCTCCCATGTAGCTGGTACTACAGGTGCGTGCCACTGTGCCCGGCTAATTTTTTGTATTTTAGTAGAAACGAGGTTTTACCATGTTGCCCAGGGTGGTCTCGAACTCCGGAGCTCAGGTGATCCGCCCACCTCGGTCTCCCAAAGTGCTGGGATTACAGGTGTGAGTCACCATGCCCGGCCCCCATGATCTTTTAAACATCGATGAGAATTAAAACCTGCAGCCCTAGCCCAGCCCCTTACAAGCTCCAGGGGCTAATGAGGCTTCTGGGTGATTGAGACAGCTGTGTTCCTATCAGGACAGCCAAGGTGTCATCCTCAACTGTTAGCTGGTGGTGACACTGCTCCGGAGCACTTGGCTTCCGTCACCTCCAGGCCGCCCGATACGCTATTCTCTGTGCCTAGAATTCTGTTCCTTCTGCTCTCCTCACCTGTCTGGCTCCCATGCACCCCTGCTCATCCCACCAGCTTACTAGACCACATACTGCAAACTTACTTCTCACCACCTCCTCCCTCTCCATGCTCCTGCCAGCCTGAACTACAGGCTTCACCACGAGGTGGCCACAGCTCTGCCAACATCCTGCCTGGTGTGGAATGCACCTTCTCCTCACCATCCCTGGCTAATGGCTGCTCATCCTTGAAACCGTAGGTTCGAGTGCCTTGTTGGTGCTCCCACAGCCTCCCTGGGCTACTTTGGCCCATTCTATAAAGACCTATCTGTCTCGGCTGGGCATGGCGGCTCACGCCTCTGATCCCAGCACTTTGGGAGGCTGAGGCAGGCAGATCACTTGAGATCAGGAGTTCGAGACCAGCCTGGCCAACATGATGAAATCCCATCGCTACAAAAATACAAAAATTAGCCAGGCTTGGTGGTGCATGCTTGTAACCGCCGCTACTCAGGAGGCTGAGGCAGGAGAATGGCTTGAACTCAGGGGACAGAGGTTGCAGTGAGCCAAGATTGTGCCACTGTACTCCAGCCTAGACAACAGAGTGAGACTCTGTCTCAAAACAAACAAACAACAATAACAAAAACAAGACCTGCCTCTCTCTCCCCACCTGTCACCTCCCCTTGGGGCAGGTGCCATGAATCCTTATTGCTGAGCATGGCACCTGGCACACAAGAGGTGCCCAATAAATGCTTGCCAGATGAATGAGTAGATTCGAGGCAGGATTTGTACCTTCAAGGAGTTTATAATCCAATGAGAGAGTGGAGACAGCAGGTAGTCCTGACAGTATGGGACACTGTCCCAAGTGTGCCTGGGAGTCATGATCCCTGCATGAGTCTCTGTTTAAAACAAGCCAGCATTTAATAGGCACCTGCTGTGTGCCAGGTGCTTTGCCAAGTGCTTTACAGGCACTGTATGACTGAGATCCCCAAACGCTTCATTTACTAATGAGGAGTCAGGTTCAGGGAGGAGAAGGACTTCCTCAGTGTCATGCCCAAAGTCACTGCTCAAAACCAGGGTGCCCTCCTACTCAGGAGTCCATGGGACCCCAGAGAGAAGGGACTGCCTAGGAAGGGGGTGAAGGGGGTTCTGGTGCCCATGGAGACATGGAGGTCCCACCCGCCCCCCTCCCGGTCTTCACCTGCTGGCTGAGCCAGCAGCTGGGCACAGTAGAGCATCCCCCACCAGCCGCCCCGCACCGCCCAAGCCAAACAGCAGGAGCGCCAAGTTGCATCCTCTCCAGCCAGCTGGAACATAAAGCCCATCAAGAATGACACCAGGACAGTCATAAAAATCAAGCCGGCCCACATCCGGCACTGACCAAGCAGAATGAGCTCAGTATGAAGAGGCTTATTTTGGGAAAATGGAAACAAAACAAAGCCCTTTAATTAGAGCCATCTGGGGAATAGTGGCCTGGGGAGTGGGGCAGGAAGGGCTAGGGTGGAAAGTTGAGCTGGGAATGCATGGGTGAGGCTGCCCTGCCCACCTCAAGCATTAGAACCAGGCGGGTGAGCTGCTCCCAGCCTACAAGGGAGTCACACACACAGCAGGGTCCCTGAGCCCCATCTGGCCACCCACTGTTCCTGTTCTTCCTCTCCCAGGCAAACTCCTGGCAATTCTGGGTGTGGTGACTCCCTGTGAGGAGCTGGGGACTCCCCATGGCCATGACACCAGATACCACAAGACCCTGGCTGAACCAGGGCTAGGCTCCATCACAGCCCTCCCATCTTGGCACTAAGTCTAAGCCCCAAATATGAATCAAGATTGCCAAGTCTGAAAAAACAAAAAGATTGCCAAGTGCTCTTCTAACCTGGGGAGACCAAACAGTTTTCCTTGGATTGATTGTTGCCTAGGGCTTTGTGTTAAGAAGGATTCCGAGGTACAGTCTGAGCCGAAACATGACTGAGACATGACTACACGTTTGCAAAGAGAGGTGGCAGGGCATTCCAGACCATTGCAATAAGTCAGGGAACAGACGAGGGGCTGAGAGAATGACAGAGAGGAGGGCAGACACAAGGAATATTCCAGTGAATGAGCTAGTGATCTGGAGAATACTGAGGTCACTCGCTGAGGATGGAGGTGATTCACCAGCTTCTTGTTTTGGTGCATAGAGAGACTAGGGAAGGAAGGAAGATGCCTTTATTTTTTTCCCCCAAATACATATAACACAAATGTGGAGTCTGGCTTTTGATTCTTTTGGGTATATCCCCAGAAGTGGGAGTACTGGATCCTATGGCAAAAAAAAAAAAAAAAAAAAAAATGTGCTTTTTTTTTTTTTTTTGAACAAGTCTCGCTCTGTCACCCAGGCTGGAGTGCAGTGGCCGGATCTCAGCTCACTGCAAGCTCCGCCTCCCAGGTTACGCCATTCTGCCTCAGCCTCCCGAGTAGCTGGGACTACAGGCGCCCGCCTCGCCCGGCTAGTTTTTTGTATTTTTTTAGTAGAGACGGGATTTCACCGTGTTAGCCAGGATGGTCTCGATCTCCTGACCTCGTGATCCGCCCGTCTCGGCCTCCCAAAGTGCTGGGATTACAGGCCCGGGCCACCGCGCCCGGCCCATTGAGTTCTTGTTTGGAGTGACACAGGCTCCCCACTGCTTACAAGGCTATTCTTGAAGTTGCAAAATTCTCTCTCTCTTTTCCTGTATTCCTCTTCGATCTGGCTGCCACAGAAAGCAGACGGCAGTCAGAGAAAGCCTGGGGACTCTTTAACTTAATGCATGACTTTTTTGAGACAGAGTCTCGCTCTGTCACCCAGGCTGGAGTGCAGTGGCCGGATCTCAGCTCACTGCAAGCTCCGCCTCCCAGGTTCACGCCATTCTCCTGCCTCAGCCTCCCGAGTAGCTGGGACTACAGGCGCCCGCCACCTCGCCCGGCTAGTTTTTTGTATTTTTTAGTAGAGACGGGATTTCACCGTGTTCGCCAGGATGGTCTCGATCTCCTGACCTCGTGATCCGCCCGTCTCGACCTCCCAAAGTGCTGGGATTACAGGCTTGAGCCACGGCGCCCGGCCCATTGTAGGTTCTTGTTTGGAGTGACACAGGCTCTTCACTGCTTACAAGGCTATTCTTGAGTTGCAAAAATTCTCTCTCCATGCTTTTTCCTGTATTCCTCTATTCGATCTCGGCTGCCACAGAAAGCAGACAGCAGTCAGAGAGAAAGCACAGGGACGCTCTTTTTGCATCTGTAGTGGAAACCTTAGCAGACAGTAACTGCTCTGGGGCTGTCAAATAGATGCATTGTTTTTAGTTTTTTCAGGAACCACCAGTTTTCCATAGCGGCTGCACCATTTCACATTCCCACCCACAGTGCACAAGGGTTCCAATTTCTCCATATCCTTGCCAACACTTGTTATTTTCTGTTTTGTTTTTTTTTTTCATAATAGCCACCCTAATGGATGGGAGGTCCAATTATACATATATATATATATATAACTGTGTAGGGAAAAACTCCTCAAAATGTGTTTTTCCTCTGCTGTCAGACCACAAGCATCATCAACACAGAAGACTTCTGTGACCAAATGCATGGGGTTTTCCCCCACACAACAAGCAGCGGTACCAGCTGGGTGTCCTCTAATTCAGTTCCAGCACAATCTAGTCAGAGATAACATCAGATCCCACAGGTTGAGAGCTCAGTCCCCAAGGCTGTCTTCCGCCACACACACCGGTCGCAAGTCAAGGCCTCAGAAACTTCTGACAGACTAGCTTCAAGTTCCCATGACCCCTTCTTTGGGTTCAATCAGTTTGCTGGAGCAGCTCGCAGAACTCAGGGTAACAGATGGACTGGTTTATTATAAAGAATATTGCAAAGGACGCAGATGGAGAGATGAGCAGGGTGAGGAACGGTGAAGGGGCGAGAGCTTCCATGTCCTCCCTGGGTGCCACCCTCCAGAAACCTCTCTGTGTTCAGCCATTCAGAAGCTCCCTGAACCCTCTCCTCAGCTTTTTATGGACGCTTCATGCATCAGCATTGCTTCCCCTGGGTATAGGGTGGGACCCTCTCTTGGAGGGTCTTAAGATCCACAGTCAGAAAGGTGGGGGAGCTTTAGAGTGAAAGGAGGGCAGGAGAAGGCAGAGGCCTGCCCCTGAGGCCCAACACACCTAACATTCTAACAAAAGACCGTAAGGAGGGCTGTGGGAGTCATAAGCCAGGAGCTGTGGATGAAAACACACACACACACACATATATATACATATATATATATATATATATATATTTTTTTTTTTTTTTTTTGTATAGAGACAGGGTCTCACTATGTTGCCCAGGCTGGTTTCAAACCCCTGGGCTCAAGTGATCCTCCCCGCCCTCGGCCTCCCAAAGTGCTAGGATTACAGGTGTGAGCCACCACACCCAGCCCAACAACTGATATCTATCATAACACCACAGTTAACATATATCGTATATATAACAACTTTAGGAGATATAATTCCCATACCATATAATATACCCATCTAAACTATGCAGTCCAGTGGTGTTTAATATATACACAGAGTTGTGCAGCCATCACCGCAATCAACTTTAGAATATCTTTATTTATTTACTTATTTTGAGACAGGGTCTCACTCTGTTGCGCAGGCTGGAGTGCAGTGGCACGATCACGGCTCACTGCAGCCTCTACCTCCTGAGCACAAGCCATTCTCCCACCTCAGCCTCTCAAGTAGCTGGGATATGCAAGCCACCACACCCAGCTAATTTTTAAATTTGTTCTTATTTATTTATTTTTTGTAGGTCGGGTGTGGTGGCTCACGCCTGTAATCCCAGCACTTTGGGAGGCCGAGACGTCAGATTGAGACCATCCTGGCTAACATGGTGAAACCCCGTCTCTACTAAAAATACAAAAAATTAGCCGGACGAGGTGGCGGGCGCCTGTAGTCCCAGCTACTTGGGAGGCTGAGGCAGGAGAATGGCATGAACCTGGGAGGCGGAGCTTGCAGTGAACCGAGATGGCGCCACTGCACTGCTCTGTCCAGCCTGGGCGACAGAGCGAGACTTCCGCCTCAAAAATAAATAAACAAACAAACAAATAAATAAATAGAAACAGGATCTTGCTATGTTACCCAGGCCGGTCTTAAACTCCTGGGCTCAAGCGATCCTCCAGCCTCAGCCTCCCAAAGTGCTGGGATGACAGGTGTGAGCCACTAAGCCCGGCTTGGAACACCTTTATTACCCTGTACCTATTAGCAGTCACTTTCTGTTGCCCCCTAATCCCCATCCTGAACCCCTATCCTGTGACAACTACTTGTCTTCTTCCTATCTCTGTGGATTTGCCTATTCTGGACATTTACGTAGAATCCCATAATATGTGGTCTTTGGTGATTAGCTTCTGCCACTTAGTGTAACGTTCTCGTGGTTCATTCTTGTGGTTGCTTATGTCAGCACTTCATTTCTTCTTGTAGCCCCATCATATTCCATCATATGATATACCACATTTTATTGATTCATTCATCAGTTGGTGGGCATTGGAGTTGTTCCCACTCTTCGGCTGTTATACAAAGAAAGCTGCTGTGAACATCCATACGTACGTTTTGTGTGGATGTATGTTATGTGTTTTCATTTCTCTTGAGTATATGCTGAGGAGTGGAATTGCTGGGTCCTTTGATAAACCCGTGTCTAACATTTTGAGGAACTGCTGGGCTGTTTTCCAAAGTGGCTGCCCCATTTTACATTCCCGTCAGCGGCATATGAGGGTTCCAATGCCCCCACTTCCTCACCAACACTTGTTATTATCTCTGTCGACACTAGCCAGCCTAGTGGGTGTGAAGGGGTTCTCATTATGGTTTTGACTTGCATTTCCCTGCTGGCCAATGATGTGGAGCATTTTTTCTTGTGTTTCTGGGCCATTCATATATCCACTTTGGAGAAATGTCTATTCAAAACCTTTGCCGTTTTTGTTGTTTTCTTTTTTGAGATAGAGTCTCACTGGGTTGCCCAGGTTAGAGCGCCAGGTTCTCACTCGGTTGCCCAGGTTGGAGTGCAGTGGTGTGATCATGGCTCACTGCAGCCTCAACCGCTTGGGTTCAATCAGTCCTCCCACCTCAGCCTCCCAAATAGCCTGGAGGCACAGGCCACCGTGCTCGGCTCATTTTTTATATTTTTTGTAGAAGTGGGGTTTCACCATGTTACCCTGGCTGGTTGCGAACTCCTGGGCTCAAGCAATCTACTTCCCCTTTGCCTGTTTTTAAGTGGGTTGTCTTTTTGAGTGGTAAGTATTCTTTATATATTCTGGGTAAGTCCCTTATCACATATATGATTTGCAACTATTTTCTCCCACTGTGTGGGTTGCCTTTTCATTTTCTCCGTGGTGTTCTTTGAAGGACAGAAGTTTTGGTTTTGATTAAGTCCAGCTTATGTATTTTTTCTTTTGTTACCTGTGCTTTTGGTGTCATTTCTAAGAAGGCTCTTCTAACACAAAGTCCCAAATATTTACTCCTCTATTCTCTTCTAAGAAAGAAATTTTAGTTTTTTTTTTTTTTTTTTTTTTTTTTAAAGACAGAGTCTTGCTCTGTCACCCAGGCTGGAGTGCAGTGGCACCATCTCAGCTCACTGCAACCTCCACCTCCTAGGTTCAAGCAATTCTCCTGCCTCAGCCTCCCGAGTAACTGGGATTACAGGCGCCTGCCACCATGCCTGGCTAATTCTTGTATTTTTAGTAGAGACGGGGTTTCACCACGTTGGTCAGGCTGGTCTCGAACTCCTGACCTCAGGTGATCCACCCGCCTCGGCCTCCCAAAGTGCTGGGATTACAGACATGAGCCACCGCACCCAGCCTTTTAGCTCTTACCTAGAGTGAAGATGTTTCAGCAGAGGACTAGGGTGGCTTGTCCTTGACACCTAAGGAAGATGGTGATGGCAGTGGGGCAGCCTCCTGGGGGTCTCTGGGACCAGGGATGGAAGGATCAGAGAATAGAAAGCCGGCCATGGGGAGGGGACTGGGTGAGTTGTGTGCTGCTCTGGGGAGTGAGAGGCTACTGCCAACGGTAGAGATGCAGGAGGGACTCCCTGCGTGGGCCATTCTTCCCTTCATTCATTCGTTCCTGCACCAGCACTCAGTGAATGCCTGCCAGGTGTCAGGCACCTTGCTAGGTGCTGGGGTGGCAGAGATTACCAAAGAGAAGCCCGGTGCCGACGATGAGGAGCTCTGTCCAGGGTGGAGAGCCACCGCTGAGCAGGTAACTCTGCAGGAGGCTAGCTGTAGGGTCACATTGCAGGAGGCCCCCTCTCCTGTCTTGGGGGGATGTCAGGGGTGTGGATTAGGGCTTAAGGTTGAGTTGGGCTTCTGTGAGGAGGGGGTACCTGGATGGAATCCTTAACGTAGGAGGGTAGGGGGAGATGGTGGTATTTCAGGCAGTGGGGAAATTGCCTTTTAAATTCAGGCTGTACTTCCTTCCTTTTATTGAAATCATACCCGCTCTCAGCGTAGACGCCAGATACTTCCCAGCTTAAACTGCGGAAGGCGGCGGTTCTCCCGCGCCCGCACCCCAGCCTCCCTCTCCGCCTGAATGTCTGAGCCGTTTCTGTTCCCTGATGCATCCTTATCTCCCAGCCCTGTGCCTGCACTGCCGCGTCGGGGTTTTTCTCTTTTTAGGCATTGCCTGTTGACATCCCATGAGGGAAGAGGAGGAATTGGGAACCCCCTTCCCTCTACCACAGCCACCCTTCCTACCCCAGGGTAGCTGAGTCATTGTGATGGAGTCCGGTCCGCTGTTGAGGACGCTTCCAGGGTGGAACGCAGGGCAGGCAGGTGCCTAAAGCCTGCAGATCCCCCAACTGGATGTCGGGGGCATGTGGGGGAGTGGGGCTAAAGCCCAGGGAAGGGAGAGGCCGCTGGAAGCTGGGGGTTCGGGGAGCAAGCAGAGGGGCTCAGGAGGAGGCCAAGGCAGGCAAGGGAGAGGAGAGCAGATGGAGGCCCCGGGACAGGCGACTTTCGAGGTGATGAGCATGATCAGACGCCCAGGAAAGGAGGCGTGATCAGGGGCCCCTGGCTGTGGCCACGGGGGGCTGTGAGTGAGGTGACTTTGCAAGTACAGTGTCTTCTGTGGAGTGGCCCAGAGAAGCGGAATTGTAGTAGGTTGAAGGTTGAGTTGGGAGATGAGGCTGTGGGGCAGTGGATTTAGACCTGTCTTGGGAAATTTGGAAGATAGAAACTTGGAGCAATAAGGGGTCCAGGAAGGATTTCGTGAGGATTAGGAGATCTGTAGTCATTGCAAGAGAATGAGGCTAAAGGCACAGTGCAAGGATCG